TTTTTTACATTATGTGTAGATACCTGTTTGGCTGTGTGCCACATGTATGTGGGTATGTGCAGAAGCCAGAAGAGGGCATTGGGTTCCCTGGAGTTGGAATTATTTGAAATGCCGGACATGAGTACTGGGAACTGAATCCAGGTCTTTTGAAAGACCAGCAGCAGCTGTCAACAAAGAGCTCCTAACTGGAGCCGTCTCTCCAGACCCAGGTGCTGAGTGCTCAGTGACCATGGCTGTAGCTATTGCTGCCAACTGCTTTTGTTGGAGGCTGATTGCAGGTTGGCTTGTGAGTGTACCTCAGTGGCTGAGGAAGTTCTCAACATCAGGTTTTGCCTGGCCTCCCAGCCTGCTTTGAGAGGCTATGTTTGTACAGGGCAGATGTTTGGGTTTTTTGGGGGGAGGGGGCGGGGGTGGTGGTGGTTGTGAGTTTTAGTTCTCCACCAGGTTATCATGAGAAACCTCAAGGACGGAGAGGGGAAGATCATGCCTCAACAGCTGTGGCAGCTTGTGTCACCTGCACAGATGGCATGGAGAGCTGTGGCTCCTTTTGCGGATCTACAGCCAAGACACTTTCTGCTCAGGGGGTGGCCCCAGCCAACTGCTCTTCAGCCGGCTGCCATGGCCAAGAATGACTTTGGGTCCGATTAAAAATGAAATTCCTCTCTGTCTTCTGAATGGGGGTAGTCATCGGACTGGAATCGGGTTACATGCGGGGAGGCTGTTCTTTGGTTTTTGCAGAGAAAATCAAGAGCGCCAGAAGGAAGGAAGTATAACCCCACTTCTCAGGACTGTGTGCCTGGGATGGTGGGTACCAGGGCTGATATGCAGGCTCGAGTCTGAAGAGATGCTTCAATACTCTGGGCCTAAAGCGCCTTCAAGTTCTGACTGACTTACAGAGTGCTTGTCCTACCTGTTTCCTTGTGGTCTTCTGCTGTTGCTGTTTTTCTTGGCTGAGTGAGAGGCAGCCAGCCGTACCCCACCAGATGTTCGTGGTGTTTTATGAGTACACATGTTCTGGTCCTGGCCCAAGAAAATACTCATGACCTAGATATCAGCATTTGCTTGGCTTAGGAAATTCCATCATCTTTATGATGTTTTTAAAAATGAGGTCTTGTACTGATGTGTTGTTCAAAACAGAAGGAAGGGTGGGATGATTAACGTGCTGTGGACAGGGCTCTACAGAGGTTCTTCTTGTACTTGGGTATTGGATTCATTTCTCTGTCATGGTCTGCCATTCCCCTGTGCAGAATCATGGCTATTGTCCCTTTCCTGTGTCTTGATGCCCTCACTGTTAGAGGGACACACCATTTGCCAACACATTCTTGGACCCAGACTACAAAATACTTATTTCAGTGCATGAAAGTATCCCATTCTGATTGGAGAGAAAAGGGGGGAGGGGTCTAGGGAAAGCACCAGCCCTAAACCCTCCAGGCCAAGTACAATAACATTGAAGAGACACTACTTGCTGTGTAAGGCCTGAGTTCTAACCATGCCATGAATCTGGAAGGATACAGTGGTTGGTGCTCATCTGCCCATGAAAATTGACTCTCCTTAGTCATTAAAGTCCTTCTCACATCATGGGACCCTCAGTGGATAAAAGGAAGGTGGCGTAATTTGAAATATTTGGGTGGGAGTGGGTTGCTACCTTGCAACTTTCATACAATGTCCAAGGATCTAAATTTCCATGATCAGGCCTAATGAGGGACTGTATGGACATGGTCATTCAGGAAGAGAGGTGGCTTCTTAGACTGCTGGGCAGTTCTTGGAGTCATTTTGCTCCTTTTTCATTATGAAACCACCCCAGTCTTTGAAAAGAATCACATTATAATTTTTCCTCTTTTAATCTTAAGTGATACTTCATACATTTTGGCTTAAATGCAGATTAAAAAACATTATCTTGTCATTGCCGTGATTTTTGACCAGGAATAAATGACCGCACAGATTCAGATAGCTGAATATTAACCACACAGGTTCCAATAGTAGCTTTCTGTGGCAAAACACCGGTGATCTTCTCCCCACCCTCATCCCCCCAGTGAGCAAAATAATGTCACCTAAAAAGCCTATACCTCATTAAGAAGGTGTGGAGACATGACTTGGTCCCTAGGGGATCTTTAGGACAGCGTATGATGTCTTAAAATAAGAAAGAAGAGGATTAAATTCTTGGGTTCTAAGTTTCTTTTTTTTTTTGAGACAGGGTTTCTCTGTGGCTTTGGAGGCTGTCCTGGAACTCACTTGGTAGTCCAGGCTGGTCTCGAACTCACAGAGATCCACCTGCCTCTGCCTCCCGAGTGCTGGGATTAAAGGCGTGCGCCACCAACACCTGCCTGGGTTCTAAATTAAAAAAATTTTAAGTTATAATCCCCGACCCCTCATGTTTCTTAGGAAACCTCGAGTCTCCTGGCATGGGATTTTTGTAGGCACAGACTGGAGAGAGGCAGCTGGGTTTTCTGTGTGCTGTGGAATAGAGCCCTGGGCAACTACATGTTTGTATCTGGGATGATACATAGGAGTCCAAAGACTCTAGATTCTAAGAGTGGATACACACATTCTGTAGGTGTTGAAGGAGGTCAGCTCTCAGAAGAGCTCTGTGTGGTCAGGTTTTAGATACAATGTAACCCATGGTAATGACCTTTTCCCCACCAGTTTGTACAGACCTGAAAATAGTCTTTGTGAGGCTGGCAGAATGCACTTAATGCCCTTTTATGTCATCTGTGGGTGAAAGAATGCTTAATTCAGTAATCTCAGAATTTGCTGAAGAATTGGGTTAGAAGACAGTGTTTAAAGAAAGCTTTGTCATATATGGAATGTTTCATTCTTTGTGTGTAGATGAGGCATCTCTGAACTGCAGAGCTGTTGACGTGGATTTGGGGGGATGTAAAGTGTTACCTAAGCAGGAGGACCTGAGTGTGGATCTGCTGGGTGTGTGGTGGTGTGCGCCTGTAATCCCCTCACTGGAGAGGAACACCCCTGGGATTTGTTGGCCGGTCATGAGTCAATGGGGGCCATGGCAGGTGTACAGACCACAGACACTGGCAGGTATGGACAGACTTATGTGGGACTCAGTGCAGCTTGAACTGTCCATCCACGCGGCCCAATGGGACAGCCTTTTTCCCTAGGGACTAGGCTCAGCCAGGAGTTGGTGAGGGTACTCTTGTTTTTGTCAGACATCGTAGTCCTGGCTGGTCTGAAACTTGATAAGTAGACCAGGCTGACTTCAAACTCACAGATTTCTCTGTATCTGCTACCCTGTCCAGCAGGATGAGGGTGCTCTTAGTTTGAAGTAGAAGAGGAGGTACAGAGAAGCTTTGCAGGTGGGGTTTTCAGTGGAGGCTTTGAGTGACAGTGATTTGGACACTTGGAAATGGGAAACCAAGGAACTGCCATGGTTGGTATCCCTTCTGCCGGGCAGCCGTGGGTGGGGCACACCTTTAATCCCAGTACTTAGGAGGCGGAGGCCTGTGGGTCTCTGAGTTCCAGGCCAGCCTGGTTGACAGAGCAAGTTCCAAGGATAGGCTCCAAAGCATCAGGGAAGCCCTGGCTTGAGCAACTGTTTTTGTTTTTTGTGTTTTCGAGACAGGGGAACAAGGTATTTTTTTAAAAAAGATTTTTGTTTTAAAAATTTTTGAGCCGGGCGTTGGTGGCGCACGCCTTTAATCCCAACACTCAGGAGGCAGAAGCAGGCGGATCTCTGTGAGTTCGAGGTTGGGCTGGACCGACAGCCTCCAAAACAATACAGAGAAACCCTGTCTCGTAAAACCAAAAAAAAAGTTTAAAAATCACATATGTATGGCCCTGTATTGTGCCACAGTGCACATGGAGATCAGAGGACAGCTTGCACGAGTTGCTTCTTTCCTACCATGTGGGTACTGGAATCAGAGGTCACCAGGCTTGGTGGTATGCCATTACCTGTTGAGTCATTTCATTGGCCCAGGATTTGTGTATTTGTGTGTGTGTGTGTGTGTGTGTGTGTGTGTGTGTGTGTGTGTGTGTGTGTGTGTGTGTGTTAAAGTTTTGGCAGACAGGGAGGGTCTTTATAATTTAGTCTTATTTTTAAGCCTTTGCCCTTTCTATCTTGGCCTGCTGATAGAAGGTGATAGAAGGATAATTGGTGTGGATGGCTATGCCTACCTATAATGGTGTTCTTTTATTGGAGACAGAGTCTAAACGCAGCCCTAACTGATCTGGATTTTGCTTTGTAGACTGTACCAGCCTCATTCTCAGAGATCTACCTCCTCCCCAGTGCTGTGATTAAAGTTTGGAATGGTTGCTTTCTTTCTCTCTGGCCTCCCAGAGAATGTTTGAACCTTCTCCTGTCTTTCTGCACTATTTGATGAATACCCATTTGGGGGTAGGCGGTTGGGAGGGGAGTGGGTTTGGGGTCTTTTTTCAAGATAGTGTCTTCTGTGTAGCTCTGGCTGTCCTGGAACTCACTATGCAGATGAAGACAGCCTCTGGAACTCATACAGATCCACCTGTGTCTATCTCCCAAATGCTGGGATTAAAGGCATTCGGTACTGTGTCTGGCAGACACCTGTTCTTGTTGGGGCCTTGCTGCCCAGCCTGTGGCTTACTTCCAGTGCTTTTTTTCTGTCCCACCTCCCTCCTCATTTTAATCTTGGCCATTCTTTTTCTTGTAGTTTTGACTGTGACATCTTTAAGAGTTGCTTTTTCCAATCCACTAGGCATTAAATGATCAACAGGGCCCCATTGTAAAAACACTGTAATAGTTACCTCCATTTAACTCTGCTGTCATGTCATGGATGATGGACCAAAGGCTAAACTGTCAAGAGTCTATTAAACTCTCCTCCTCCCACATTTTGGAAAATAGCTCATATAGCCCAGATCGGCCTGGAACTTGTTGGTAGCTGAGGATAATGTTGAACCTCTAACCCTCCTGGGTTGCTGGGATTATTGGCTTATGCCAGCACTACCCATCTTGGAAGTCTTTTTTCTTGGAAGTCTTCTTGAGTGGTTTTTTTTTCCTCCCCTCTTTCAAACAGAAGTTGGTGACACGGCAAAGCAATATCTAGACAAAGGTCTTCTGGTCCCTGATCATGTGATCACACGCCTCATGGTGTCAGAACTGGAGACCCGGAGCTCACAACACTGGCTTCTAGATGGTGAGTACTGGGTAATGGGCAGGCTGGACTTTAGCACCCTCAATCAAGTTCATAGCTTTACAGTCCATTAGCTGCCCTCCCCCCAAATCTGTCATGGATTTAATATAATTTGGCACCATGGAAACCTGGTGTGGTGATGCCTCTTAATTTTCTGCTTGCTGACCATTTCTGTAAAAACGTTAGTTAGAGGAAAGCACGCTGCCATTGCCTTAACTCCATGCTGTCCGTGATGAGCTTGATTAAATAAGAGGTCTTTTCATTTGGAATGTACTAATTCCAACTCTGAGTTTCTTGTGTTTTGCTTGGCGGATTAACAGAAATGGTGTCTAAAATTAATCTTATACTGGCTATATAGGAAGGTGATTATTAAAATGGTAGCCTTGGCTGGAGGGATGATGGCTGAGAGGTTAAGAGCACTGGCTGCTCTTCCAGAGGCCCTGAGTTCAATTCCCAGCAACCACATGGTGTCTCACAACCACCTGTAATGAGATCTGGTGCCCTCTTCTGGTCTGCAGGCATAAATCCAGACAGAACATTGTATTCATAATAAATAAATCTTTAAAAAAATGGTGGCCTTAGTCAGGGGATACCTCTTATCTCTGCACTTAGAAGACTGAAACAGAGGATTACAGCAAGTTGTAAACCAGCCTGTGCTATAATAGTGAGTTCTAGGCCACTGGATTACAGAGTGGGTTTTTTGTGGGGCATTTCGTCGTCGTGAAAAATTAAAGATATGTTCTATTCTCTCATGCTGTGGAATGTTTGTTTAGTGATGAGATGTTTCACGGTCTTCTATGTTGCATTTGCATTAGTTTAACTGTTGCTACTTTGCCTGTCTAAAACATACCTGATTGGTCTAATAAAGAGCTGAATGGCCAATAGCTATGCAGGAGAGAGAATTGAGTAGGGCTGGCAGGTGGAGAGAATAAATAGGAGAACAAGAAGGAGCCAGGATACCAGAGGCCAGCCATGCAGCCACTCACCCAACTACTGAGTAAGCAGTAAAGAAAGGTATATGGAATGGAGAGAGGTAAAAGCTCAGAGGCAAAAAATAGATGGGATACTTTAAGAAAAGCTGGCTAGAAACCAGCCAAGCTGCTAAGGCCAGGCATTTAAGTAACAATAAGCCTCTGTGTATTTATTTGGGACCTGGGTGGCTGGCCCCCAAAGAGTAAAATAGTCAACTACATTTCATTCTGAATTTCTGCCCAGGGATGTGTCTTCCAGGATGTTTATTTGACCTCCCCCTTGGTAAATAGGGGAGAATACTGTTTTACTGATGAAAGAAAGGGTTAGGTTAATATTTTGGAGGTGAGGGTGGGGGTCTGGAGAGGGCTCAGTGGTTAAGAGCATTTGTTGCTCTTGCAGAGACCTGGGTTTGCTTCCCAGCACAAACATGGCAGCTCACTTGAATGTATAACTACAGGTCTAGGGGCTCCAGTAACTATGGTTCTCCCAGGGCACCAGGCATATATGTAGCATACATGCGAACATAAAAGCAAACATGGATGTTAAGAGAAAATATGGATTTGAGTGGGAGGGTTGGTACAGTAAGTGGGGCTTGACTCAGCCTAGTGTTTGCTGAGCTTTCAAGAAAAAAGAGCAAAGAAGCTCCTTTTGATTCTTCTGCACCTTACTCAAATTGTCACTGTGATCAAATAACCAAGAAAAGCTTCTTAATGTTAGGAGGGGGAATTAAAATATCTGTGTTGCTATATGAGTTTTATGAGCTTCATTATGAAATTTGTATATAGATGCGCTTTGATCATATTTGTTCTTCATCTTTTGTCTCACTCCAACTGATCTGCCCTTTTCCCAACTAGTCCCCATGCTTATTTTTCTGTGTCATTTTTATTTTTTGTGTGTGTACCCCGGTGAGTTTATTAAGGAGTTTGGGCGAGGGCTTATTTACAGGAGACAGGACAACATACCAGCCACTGTACCACTGAAGAAAGTGTCTTTCTCTCCTGGAGCAGTTTCACTTAACTTGCCTGTGAGTCCTTAGGGAGTAGCAGAGTCTTGTGAACCTCTCCAAGATAGAATGCCAATGGGCCCAGATTTTTAGGCAGGTCTTGCATAAGTAGTAACAACTGCCAAGAGTTCAGAAGTGCAAAGGCCGTCCATGCTAGTGCCTAGAAGACAGCATTCCACAACTCTTTGCGTGGCTCTTAACGCCTCTCACCCTGTTCTCATTAGTGTTTCCACTGTGGTGATTAAACACCATGGCCAAAAGCAATATGCTTCCACTTCTCAGTTTATCAGAAGGAAGTCAGGGTAGGAACCTGGAGGTAGGAGCTGATGCTGAGGCCTTGGATTTACTTGCATGTTCAGTCTGTTTACTTGTAGCACCCAGGACTATCATTAGCCCAGGAGTGGCACCACCCACAATGGGCTGGGCCCTCTCAAATCAATCACTAGTTAAGAAAATGATCTACAGGCTGGCCTATAGCCTGTATGGAGAGGGTTACTCAATTGAGGTTCTTTCCAGTCAGGCGGTTCTAGCTTGTGTCAAGTTGACATAAAAGTAGCCAGCAAACACTGCAGTTCTGTGGTGTTGCCTCGGCTGATGTGGTTATGGGTGTGGGTAGGTTGGTAACACTGATGCCCTGTTTAGGGATGAACACCAAACGGTCACTTATTCTTAGCACTTTGAACAGCTAACAGCTTGTACTTTTTAATAACTGCCACCCATGGTACACAGAAGCTTCTTTAACCAAACCTGATGGTGGCACTGATCTGTGGCCATAAACAAAAATATTTAGAAGTCAGTTTGACAGACAGGACACATCCCACCAGGCTTTTGAACAACTTTAGAGTAGCAGATGTAAATGATTGAACCTCACATCCAACCAGAAAGCAGTTGGTTATTGTCTCTATAACAGGGGTGCCGCTATTGCATAGTTCGCCTGGCAAATCTCATGCAGGGCTCACAGTTGAATGACATTTTACCACCAGCAAGCATTATAAGCCTGCACTAACTACTATACCCAATTCCCAAATGTGTGTGTGTGTGTATTTTGGATGAACTCTAGCTTTGCCGATACCCGTCAATAAACTCCTTTAGAGTTCCTTAATCATAAGGCCCCATGCCTTGTACAATAAGATTTGTGTACTTTAAGGGATCATATCTCTATTAAATTCCTCTGAAAAGGCAGCTAATGGGTATTGATTCTTACATTTTCTTCTCCCTGGAAGCATGTAACCTTTGGCAGGTCACCATGCTTTTTTTGTGCATTTGATTCAGTTTAAGAATGAAGTGAATGACTGGACACAAAATGCTTAGTTTAACATTCCATGAGGTTTTATTTGTATATGTCATGGCTATTGTACAGAGCCTAGATTTTTTTTTGTAGGCTACTACATGAAGTAGGAAGTTAAATAAACTGGTGATGGTGGTGGTACACACCTTTAATCCCAGTCCTGGGAGGCAGAGGCAAGTGAATCTCAAGTTCAAGGCCAGAAACCCTGTGATTGGGGGGGGGTGTTTTCAAAATGCAGCCTTGTAAAAGTTGCAAAGTCAGTCAGTTATGGACTCTCTTACAGCTCTTTTCCTGCTTGCTTTTGTCTTAACTGTTCTGTCATAGAGTAGCTAGTCCTTTTAACATCACTGGCCTGTTTTTAGTGAAGTGCGTCAGTCTCCCAACTGATTTAGTTTTCGTCTTTCTTCCGGAAAACCCATCTGGTCATTTTCAGTTTTGATTTTTCTCCAAATCTCTAGAATCTGTCATTTTGGCACAGTGAGGGTGTAAGGGCTGCCTGGTCCCCATGTTCTACTTTAGACCCCTTATGTTGCTGGGAACATGCTTAGCAGAGGGTGTGCTTGTTGAGCGTGCTAAAGGTGATTGAATGCCTGTCTTAGAAGGAATTCAGGCTGACAGATGATTCATCGTCATGGTCCATATGGCTTTGGAGAGGCATTCTGCTAACCGTGGGTGGAAATCAGTGCAGTGGATGCAAGCCAAGGGAGCACCAAGTCGGTTGGGGAACGGTGTGTGTTCTGCCTGGCCAGCACCATCCTTGTTAAAATGTTCAGCCGTATCTGCCTTCACAGCCCTTGGAAAAGAAGCACCCATTTTGTTTTTCTCTTTGAAGCAGAGCCTCCCTGTGTGGCTCAGATGACTTCAAACTCCTGGTAATCCTCCTCTGTAGCCTCCCAAAGGCTGGGATTACAGACATGAGCTACCATGGTTGGTTTTCAAAAGTTGGTCAGCTATCGCCAATATAACAATGATTAAGATGAGTAATGGGCAAACAAAGTTTTATTTAGTTTGAAGTTGTGTGTGTGGGGTATATTTAGTTACTCTTCTGTTGCTGTGATAAGATAACATTACCAAAAGCAGTGTGTGGAAGAAAGAGCTAATTTTTACTATAGCTCCAGAGTCCATAGTGGCAGGAAAAGCAGGCAGCAGGAGCAGCAAGCAGAGGGCCCACACCTTCAACAGCGGACACAGAGCAAAGACAGCAAACGGAAGTGTGGCAAGGTTCTGTCTGTCATAAGTATCTCAATGCCTGATGTGTGGGCAATATTTCTTATTCAGACCACAAGACCAAACAACATAGTGAGGGCCCCACTACTGCATCATAGCATGATTGATTGCATCTCAGTAAGAACACACACACACACACACACACACACACACACACACACACACACACACACACACACACACACACCCCTACCCTTTCCCATTAAGCTGTACCTCTAAAAAGTCTCACTGGTTACGTCTCAGGACACATCCATTTGGGGATGTGCCCAACTCATCCAAAATCATAGCATTAGTTTTCATGGAAAGTACTCTTGCAGTTTGGAAAATAGGTATACAAAGCTTTTTAGGTTACTCATCAGGTTAAGGTGCTTGATACCAAGGCTAACTACTTGAGTTTGACCCCTTGGACTAATGGTGGAGGAACAAAACTAAATCCCTTAAGTCCTTTGACCATCACAGGCATACTCTTTCCTGCCCATTCTTCCCAAATAAATGAATGTAACATGAACTTCT